CCGGCCCTTATAATGTCGACACTGGAGGTGACTTTTTCGTTACTTGGTTTGGAGAACAAATCTGCTGTGTAAGGACTTGTGGTACTGCTTGAGTGATGAGGCTTCAGTTGACAGAGCGTGCCTCGAAAGTTTTTGGTCAGATGCATGTGCCCGTTGATCGCAGCATGATCGCGAAAGTTCTCTCGTTTCACCTTCTGCTTCAATGAGAAAAGGAGTGTGTGACAAAAGGTATTAAGAATTTGTTTAGGGAACGGAGAATATGTACACAAGTAGTTGGTGGTTATTCAATAGTTTGTGAGGTTACTGAAGTTTAATCCTGTAGGTGGAGTTCCCCGCAAGCCCTGTTGTACATATGTAACAGCGGCCTGCGTGCTCTTTCCAAGTCTGTCGCAGCCAATACTGTGTTTTATACATCACTGCCAAAGTGCGCATTCATATCTCCCCAATGTCCGAAGCGCCCTGAATGCTTTCAACAGACGTGCAGGGTGTCGGTATACATCAGCAAAGAAGTAAAATAATGTCTCAGGAGGTTCACCGAAATCACAAAACAGAAATCTGAGCACGTGAATCAGATGACGTCATGGCATAAACATTAATTTCCTGGTGTGGGATGATGGTTTGAGCCACGTAGTATTTGTATCCTTTTTGTGGTGGTGTGTGTATGCAGCAGAATAAATTCCGAGTGTGTTCCAACGTGAACGGGATAACACAGGAAGATATCACTTCCGTTTGATCAGAGTGCTATGGACCTTATCCTAGCCAATACACGCCGTCCAAACACAGGTGAACGGCAGGTAAACCAAGATACAAGCAGCGGCATTCGAAGACATGTAATGATTCAAATTGCTGGTTGTCCAGTGTGTATAAGCGAAACTGGTTTCAATATATGATATCGGTACGCGTGGTATTTGTTCAGAAATTTGAATGGGATATACAACATCCTTCTTAAGGGACTACTAAGGTCTTTGTGGATTCAACCACCTACCACCATGCATCAGTTTAGTTTTGTGCAAATAAAATGTTGCATAATTCGCAAGGGAGCACAACGCCATCGGTGGTGTCATTCATTTGCAGTTACGGGGATCGGAATGATGCCCTAGTATAAGGTTACATGTAAATGGGGTATTTCCGAATTTCCTGAATGTCCAACCCTGGCAGATGTCGTTTGCTTAGGTCTCTGCAAGTAGACATGAGAGCAACCAACTCTTTTATTCTCATCATCACCTTAGGTAACAGCATCTTGCACGGGTAAGACTCCCGCATAACCCGACTAGCACAAAGGTGGGCGTTGGCGTACGCCAATCCTGCTGGGTATTCTGTTCTCATTGCATACCTCAATTCATAAAATTTAAGAAACTATTATACAGCGGTATTGGTGTCTGCAACCGTCGCAGTTGTATGCCATTTTCCAGGAAGAAAGTTTACAACCTTGATCATGGAATTTAAGGGTGCCCACTTTCGTATACGACTGATTGTGAAGCGAGGGTATAACATAAAAGGCACAAAAATCAATGGAACCGGATGGCAATTGACTGTGAATAGCTCTCTAATCTGCTGTACTGGTGTCCACGACAGGCACCAGAGTTCGTCGTTTTTTGCCTATAATTGTCTTGAAAGGCCAGAACACATGCGATAGATTCAGTAGATGTTCCCAATGAATTATAACGTAGATCACGTGAGAGCTGTGGTGGGGCCATGTCAAACTATTAGAATACATCAGCTCACGAAAGTTTCGGCAGTCAACGTACGTCAACAGGTTCCTGAACTCCCCGTCGGACATCATCAGTTTCATGTGGTGGTGCATTCCGTTCGGCTGGGCGTAGAATCCTCCCTTGGTGATCACCACTGGGTCTTCAAACCCTTAGTTCCAGAAAAATCAGCAGCTCTGACGACAGCTTCTAATCGTGCATACTGTTAACAGGCTCCACAACTTCATAACTGTCAAAATTCAGTTAGATTCAGAAGGTGAATAGGGAATCCAAGAGCTGGCTCCCCCCACCGACCAGCATGGCAGCGAAAAACAGCAAACTTATACCTGCATTCTGCGTCTATTCTATTGTTTCAGTCCCTGTTCATGCAAGAATCACGAGTCTTAAACAACTGGTGGCTTCCTTCAACGTATAATGATGAATCCACTAATTAAACAATTCATCTCTTATAACCGTTCGATGCGCACTTCACGCCCATCTGGAAATAAGAGGCCTCGGTGATGACATATACATAGAGAAGCTTTGTGCTTGTTTTGACTATGCCTTTCCATATTGTTTATGCACGTATGAGTGCGTTGCGAGTGAAGTGATAGGCCGTTATAGCAGGCTGTCTTCTTGTGCAATCGTACTCCTTCATCCACCCCTGCAGAGCAGCCTTCGGAAGTAAGTACCTAACTTACCACAGTAATTGTATTCTAAATGAGTAAGTGCTAGCAAAAAATATTGTTTACCGCCTCATGGGGTGGCACTTGTGACGGACTCCTTCTGGTAGTTAACGGTCTTCAAGTGTTCCATTGAATCTCTCCAAATTTTGATAAATAGCATATGTGTCACCTATCTGGACCATGTTTTCGTATGACTAGAGACTCAAGTGTTAACTGTCTTCTGAGCCTATACAGCCAAGTGGCCATGCGACACCATAATTGAAGCAGACAGTTCCATTTCTGCGCAATTATGCGGAGGTACTTTATATCAATCTAAATCAACACTTCAGTCTTCCACCAATCTCTTCTGTGCCATTGACTTGATGGAGACGAAACTCATGGCTATTGTTTCAAGCGGTTGGCTGTTGTGCAGTAACCTTTACGCACTTCCGAGGTATTCGTCTCCCATAAATATGGAGGAGGACACACATTCACGACTAGTTTAAAAGCTAGTGAAGTGCCGACAACCATATGAAGGCGGTAAATGCACATGAAAGTAAAGTTATAGAAGACAGGTCCCCTTTCGAAGACGCAAAAGCGACTACTTATTTGACTAAAATGCCCCTGCCTCTGCGGTGGAATGCGATGAGAATACTCTGCCTATTCTTCCGAAGATGAAGCAATAAGGTTTGCCAGGCATGCGTATATTTTACCTTTGGGGAGACAAAGAAAGAAATCGTGGATTACGATGACTACTGCGTGGACATGGACATTGTCCGTATGCATCTGAAGTACACACCGTTTGCATACTTGCCAAATAACTTCCTGGGGAATCAAATTTTTCCGGCAGCAGGTTCAGTTTAAAATTTTTTGTTATTCTCTCAGGCCCTCAATGGTACATATAACAGTATGTACTTCATCACCTACACCTGACAGCAACAAGTAAGTGGCTCCTTGACTAAGCACCAATTTTCTCAGGTCGCTTGAAGTAAGACGCCCGCAGTATAACGATTACTGTCGACAAGTTTACTGGTGCCGTCGTTACCCTGAAACCTATTCCATACAGATTGCATTCAAATGATTCAGAAAACACAGGTCTAAATATTAACCGCATGCAAGAGTGGTAAGGGAAGGTGAAACGGCACATCTCTATCCCTTGACGATTTTCGTCTTCGCATCTCACTCAGCACAGATCAAGACGTCCAAAGTTTGGAATCTTCACTTAAAGATGACAGATTTTGTGACACATTCATAAGTTAGTTTAAATTGCTTTAATTCTGTGGACTGCGAAAGTTGCAGGCAAGCTGCAAGAAGACCCTAAATTGTCCCTAAGATTGATGGTTCCCGCCGTTATTATTACCGATTTGGCAGTAAAACACACGTTTAGAAGAACCCTGACTAAGGCTGCGTTCGTTACGCCATCATTATGCAAAATAAAGAGGGGTAAGTAAGAGGTCTGTAGTTGCATCCCCTTAGCTGTTGTCGCAGGTAGATTTTTATCAAACACTTTGCGTGTGAATGACTTCGAAAATATCCTGAACAAAGTGACGAAGGCGTATTTTTTCCACCTGCGTGATAAGTAAACAAGCGCTTCGGTCGCAAAAGAAGCGTAGTTAGTGGCTGGTAATGGTAGTGTGTGGCAATGCTTTTAATCCTTTTCTATAAAGTAGGTTAACTTTCAATTATATGACGTGCACATGGAGGCTGGAGTTGGTCATTTACCCTTTAAGCATACAGGTAGCTCATATTGTCCGAAAAAAAGAAATGTAGGACAGGCCTTTCTGAGATGGATTGGGCAGAAGACTACATGGAAAAATTACTTGCTTCCTTTTTACTGACTGATATGTCATTCACAGAATATGCACACGTGGTAATTGTTGTGGCTTACATACAAGTGAAGTTATATAGCAAATACAAACCGTTAAAAGGGGATTGGATAGGTAAGCCATCGGGAATTGTCGTGGGAAAAGGGAACGAATACTGTAGCTATGGGGGACAAATGGGGAAAAAGGGGAAGGAATACAGAAGCACTTGGGAAAAATGTTGACCAATCGCGGTGGTGCGGAAAATGCTGGTGTTTCGTCGCGTTTCCGCCCTACTTCCCCTTCTGTTCACCATTAGCTTTCCCCCACTCTTCAGCTTTTTTGGTCTAAACCAAAAATCGAAGCTTTGATTTCTCACAAGTTGAGTGGATTCAGATACTACACTAACTGGTACAACATTAAACCTGGAGAACATTTCGATGCTGCTTTCCAAGTGTCCACCGTTGTACAGATGCGTCTATACATTACGAGAACTGAACTAAGAGACAGGCTTTAAAGGCTGCCCTAGCACCTGCTGTGACGACCAATTACATCCATGTAACCTATGAAAAACCATGCTCAGTCGAAATTCTGATATTCGACTGGTTAACTTAACACTTACTGGAGTGGCCTTTAAAGTCACTGAAACCTAGTGGTTAACAAGATTAGAAACTGGCACATTGGCTTTTCTGAAGGCTATATCTTAATGACCAATCATAACAACAAAAGTCAACGCTTTATCCCGCTCGCGCGAAGTTTGATATTGCACTTTGGAGGTTAAGATTTCGTCCGGTTAGTGGCATCTCGAAAACCAGTGCGACTGGCATCACTTTGCGCATTACAAGCTAAGGTACTTCGGTTCATGGATGTTTTATTACGCTCATATGTACACTACTTGACAGTGATCAGTTAATGCTAGCATAAATGTACTTTTTATCACTAATACTGACTGACAAGCTAGACAACAGCTCTAGTTATCCAGATGTTCTCAGATCCTATGCAGTATTGCACTTTGTGCGACCTAACTTGGAGGTCCATAATATCTTAGTCAAACAGGAATGGGGAAATAAGGCTGGCGTATGTGAAAATTATGCAGGTGAATGCATTGATTATGATTGCAGAAATAATGCGTAAATGTGAAATTCAGATGAGTTTTTACGGAATCCCCGTAAGATTTGAATTACGGACTTGCGGTATAAATTCCGATTAGAAGTAATTTACGAGCTTAAGGTCGTAAATATAACTTTGCTCCCGCTTTCTATTCGAACAATTTCCTCAATACTCGCTTTATTTACGGACAGTTTCCGCATACATTTCTCACTGCGCTGACTGTCAACGCGATGCACGCCATATTTACTTATTATCCGGAAAATTTCCACATTCCAGTTGTTCAGGCATTTTGTATTCATCGATCGTATCATTTCAGCACTACCCGCCTCATTTGTGTAGTAAACCGTATTATTTACGCCTTCACCCGCAATTTTACTGCGTGTTTGTTTGGGCGTTGTTGCACCACCGTACCTGAGGAAATGTGAACCTCCTGGAGGAAGTTCAGAGGCGAGCAACAAAGGGTGTTGTGCATATGCAGCAAAAAAACGATAAATACAGGCTGAAAGACCTAGGGCTTTACTCTCTTAGCTACCGTAGACTACACGGTGATTGGCAACGGCTTGCGAAATACTAAGTATTCTACGTGGTCCTAACAGCGGAATCCTACCAAGCGACCACGTTGGCAATCCTCGTGGTAACCAAAGGAGAATCGCCCATCGAAGGGTAAAAACACTAGTGTGCGTTCACTTCTTTCCGCTTTGCGAGTTCGCTGCCACTGGAATACATTACTTGCTGAGAATGTTACTGCTTTGTCTGTTGACTGCTTCAAGTGACTCACGGCTTGCGGTCATCCAGCTGGGATGTGGACTGGGTTGGTAAAACCAACTAATTCTAGCACAACCACTCTATATGAAGTCTTTAGTACCGCCGCTTTTATCGTGAACCTGACAGGTCTACACTTCCCCATTAGACGTTTTGCCTGCGGTTACCATATCCCCACTAATAACACTGCTATCCTGATGGTATTGTGTTCTCTAAGATGGATGATTTAATCGTGGAGCTTCCATTATCATTCTAGACAATATCAGCATAAACTTCAGAAGTCTCTATGATTGAGTCATCCAACTCAGGGAACGACGTCAAAGTTATCCTCCTGAGTTATAAATATTCTCCATCATCTCAACATTATTTCTATTCCTATTATCCCTCCTGTAATCTTACCTGCTCCTCCATCTGACTATGATCTCACCCTATTTGTTAAAGTTCTCCTTATCACAGTTATCTTTTCCCGTATTCCCTGGATCAACCTAGGTGTCTCAATTTCTTTCGTTCTGCTTCTTTCCAAGTTGCTTGGATATATTTGTGCTTAAATAAGTGGTTTCATGTACGTAAAACCTAAATCCATTAATCCTTGATATCACACAAACCACTTTTATGGTGCCCGAATCTACTTAAACGGCTATTTTAATATAGTTGTTCCATATTCCGGAATATCTGTTTTTCACTCCCCTCCATTACAAGTTTGAAATGAGTGCTGGGTTGTATATGCGGTGCTTACGTCAATAACTGTCGTAGCCTGTGGTGCAATCACAACCCAGTCATCACTAACCATCTAGCTATCAATACGCGTTTGTTAGCCATTGGTAAATAATCAAAGTCCTTTCATAAATTTATGAAATCCAAAATAATCTGACCTATTGACTTCAACATTTATTCTTGAGTTCAAATCTTGCCTAACCTTCATTTCGATCAATTGGTCAGTAAAATAAGCCCCTAAGCAGTGTGACTTGAAGCCTATCAAGTAAACCAGTACCAAACAATTATTTCATCCCTACGGAAAGCTAGAGCATTGACACGGTTATCGAGCTTGCATATCACAATGATCCAAAGGGCTACATTGTTTAGAACGCTAGTTTGTTGAGGTCCCATCATATCAGAAAGGTCTCTTGTATAGAGATAAAACGAGCAGTTGTTATAAGAGTGTAAATAGATACATTATAATGAGGTTCCGAGGGCGAATGCGTACTGCTGGTTGCATGGTGTGACAGAAGTAACATGTTTCTCACGTGTGACCATACTGGTGCTACCTTCCCATGCGAAAAGATGGGTTGGAAAACGTCGGCCCCGGAAGTAGTACATTCCTCCCCTACCATGCGACATTACGTGCCGGTGGTGTCTCTTTTGATTGGCTTTATTACAATCAAATCAGAATCAAACAATCCTAAAACGGTCGCGTGTGGTAGTCCTGATTGAGATATCTCTTGGACTCTGCAATCACATAAAAGTAAATCTTTTATTCTTTCTAGTGCTTTATAGAAGCGACTTTACGGTGGAGGCAGTCAAAAAGTACCAACCGCCTGTTCACTTCCAGCAGTACACAACACAACTTACCATAACCTTTCTTACCTATATTGGGACGCATATATATATCAGCAATGTGATTGTTGTTCGTGTGTAGATGAGATGTATGACTCCGTCCCAGGCTTTAACTCATGCAGTTGACTCACTAATCTAAAATCCAACTAAAGGAAAATTCAGAGATTGAAGTGCCAGTCGGCTAACTCTATGTATAACCGCATAGCATTTGGATTCTAGTATACCATAAAAATAAAAATGTCCATTAGCTACGATGTAAGAGTGGTGAAATAATTATAGTCCGGTGTTATGATGACAAATCACCAAACCAGGGTAACAAAGCTTTGGAGGTTGCCAACTTGTTTCCACCAATAGATATTAAACTTAAAGCTTATCTGCGCGGACAAAAGTCTACCCATAAGATAGTTTCATTGTATAGGATATATTTTTACTTGTGTAATCCCGGCGTAGTATGTTAGGACAAATAACAAAATGAACAAATGTTTTGTATTATTCCTCAACGTTTCGATCTTGCTAGGAAGATCCTTTTCAAGAGTATGAATCTGACACTAAGCATCAGGTTAATATTCAAGTTTTGGTACAGAAAGCGGTGACCTTTACAATCATCCAATTACATAGTAATATGGTGCAAAGATCAATGTAATACAGGTGAGTGAATAAGCAACTCGGTCAGAGAGGTTTTTCCGTTGTGAGAGTAAGGTGGAACAAAAACAGGGTGGGGAAATTTTTTAGTTTGTCTATGAAAAGTACAATGGGGTTGTGAGACATCAAGGGTGAGAAAGAATAGATTACTAGTTTGGAAGGATGAATATTTGAAGATGAGACAATTTATCTTAAATAAATAATAATAATGATAACCATAAATGTACTATTGATAACACTTGAAGTATGGGTGATAACAAAATGAATTATGTTATGGTTCATCGAATGCATATGACTCAGAGAGTAGTGTAAAATTGGTGAAAATAGTAGATCAATAAGGCGTATGTAATAGGACTAGACAATCTACCTTTTCTTCATATATTATTTATAACTGCCTAGGCGAGTCATTAATGTTTGCCATATTAGTGGGATGCCTAACCCATCTTTTCTGTTGACCGAACAAGGATATGAGCAGATGTGCAAAGCTTCTGCAATGGTCCGCTCTATGTGAGAGAGAGAACCCTTTTGCAGAACTTTTGTCTGTTCGAATGATATTTTATGACCTGAATATAGGGCATGAGCTGCGATAGCAGAGTTTTTTCCAAGTTTTCCTAGATCATAGGAATTTTCTGGTTGGTTTTTGGAACTTCTACCGTGTTCGGCTAGACGTGTTAGTACTTGACGTGATGTCTCTCCAATGTATGTGGCATCGCATTCACTGCAGTCTACCTTATAAACACAGTTTTGTTGCTCCAAATAAGGAATCGGATCTTTTAATTTACACAGGTGTGAGTGTAACGTATTCCTCACCTCACACCTATGTAAATTAAAAGATCCGATTCCTCATTTGGAACAACAAAACTGTGTTTATAAGGTAGAATATAGGGACCTTTTGGTGTTAATAAGATTTAAGCTATGGGTAGGTACATGTTGGTAAGATTGTCAAACCGATAACACTAATATCCACTTAATATTACTTGATGACGCTTCGAGCATCAAGTAAATAATACCATATCACTATGTTATAAATCAAATAAACAAATCTAATATGGAATTAAATTCTACCACAGTGACCATGTTTTACACCTATATTAAGGGATGTTTTGTCACTCAATTTTGAATTGCAAATTCCTAACCATATGCTTTGTCGGACTGTGGCTCATTGGTCTATACCTCCACTTCCAAATGTGGAGTCACAGGTTTGAACTCCGCTAAAACCATCAAGGTTTAAGCAGTCATCTAGTATCATTAACCCTCAAACCATAAGCATAGTTCATTGCCTACTACACGAATGCGCACATAGTTGCTAAGGGGCTTTTGATTCCAAACACATACCGTTTACGTAAACTTCTCAATATGTTTACCTGTGTATGGTGGTTGTTATGTAGATGATTTTTGCTACTTTTCAGGTATTGGTTAGACTTTTCAGAAACTAAGGTGCTTTTTTAATCAGTCTATGGACACTGTGTCGAAACATAAGAAAGTGAGGATTGTCAAGCAGAAGTTGAAACTCTTTCGAGCCAATGAACCACTAAAAAGTGTTCTTATGTGGGGAATAAATTACTCATTTTCTGCACTAAATCATGTGAAACCACGTGCATTACTACTGAAAGATGACTTTAAGGCACATATAAAGGTGAAGGTGAACAATCACTTTTTTAACAAGTAAGTTTTGGTGAATTATGTGCTTTAATGTCATGATTGCTATTTCTAGGGAAAATATGCCTAGCAGATTTAAATTCAAAGAGTATTGCCCAATGGTGTTCAAGTCGTTACGAGATAGATTTGGAGTTAAGAAAATGGATTATTGGGTAGGTATCTTGAAGGTGATTAATTGATGATGCAATGACTTTTTCTGTCTACTTACCAAACTAATCAGTGTTGTACTTCGGAACTTTTAATTTCATTTGTCTGATATGCTTTGAATTTGTGCATTAGTAGTTACCACTCAAGACAATAGTTTCTGAACTCATTCTCATTCGGGTATCTGGGTACCTAATTAGTTATTGTGGTGGGTCGCGATAGGCAACCCCTTGCTTCGTGCAGCGAAAAAACAAGATGCATTTGCTAGTTTGGTCCACTTCTTGTGTTGTTTGGGAGTTTTTGGGGTTGTAGGAAGTGCGGAACACAGTTTCTGTACATAGATTTGTGTTGTTATAAGCCATGGAGATTGGTATTCAGGTAGGATGATCACTTAGCACCATCACCATTGTCAGCATAGGACCAAGCATTACTTCATAAGGGTCCACGTTGCCACACCTCATATCAGCACACCAAACAGGAAAGCACTAAAATGAAAGATTGAGGAATGAAGAAGAATCAGCGAAAAGCAACAGAAAGTAGTAAAAGAGAGGAGAGAGAAATAAGAAAATACTAGATTCAGTATGAGGATCAAGATGAGGATTATCTCCTAATATATCTGCGTCATTGAGATTGAGTCATGACACATAAAGTCTCCGACCACTGGATTCTGTTGTTGTACAGACACCAACTGGAAGATCGACATTTTTCTACACGGTTCAGGCCAACAGTCAAGGACTTAATGCATCGATGCCATGTTTTAGTCTGTCGATTCCTAACTTCTTTCAAGCCTAAACCTACTTCTTCTAACATTATGTGGCGAGACAGACGGTGACTAGGCATAAGTAACACATCTCCCAGCCATCTCAGTCGGTAAAGGTTCATGACCTTATCAACTGACTTTCCTCTGCCCCCCCCCCCCCGAAAGACTCCACGCCTGACTTCTGCGTTACTGACGTGGTGACACTACGACACAATCTATACTACGAAGGCAACGGGGATGAAGCACCAAAAATTTTCTCATGTTCTCTACCTTTATTTAATAGCAATGCTTCATAGCCAAACAGTAAAACAGAGTGAAACGCAGCACAGTACACTGGATCCTTAATAGGCAGTCTGATATCGTGGCGGCGCCATAGATGCCGTAAATTGGTCAGAGCTAACCGAGCCCTTTGTATCCATGCAGAGGTCTCGTCGGTCACTGACCCACTAGGGCTGATCTGACTTCGCAGGTAAGTGAAGTGGACAACACATTCAACTATTTCACTTCTTATTGTTAGGCAGGGTACCACTAACAACCACTTCTAAAGCAAAATTTTGTATTTGGGTGGCTAGCAACGCATTCCAAACGTTTTCAAATTCCCATTCAAGGTCTTCAGAAGCCTCGGGATTTTATCAGGATCTTCATGTGACAGGGATATGCCATCCGTGTACTCTGGATCTACCAAGGATTGTCGTGTGTTAAGATCAATTTCCGTGAAGTCAGGCGAGGAGAGGGAGATCTCCTTAAGAACGTCTGTGATAAAATTTAGTAGGAATAGAGTGAGTGAATATCCTTGACGGACACTATTCGATATACACAACTCACCATAGGCTCTAGCACGCCCTTGGGTGTTCAAGTAAAAAGCCTTCGTCAGAGTGGTGTGCTTATTCAGTACGCTTTTCAGTGAGAGACTACCTTGAGACCTCTCGATCGATGGAGTTGAATGGCACCTTTAGGCCCTGGGTAAGTATCCTGTGTTTCAGGATCTAGTAGAGGGTGAATATCTATCTAGTGGATAAACCCACGACCAGGTCTGAAGCCTGACTGATTTTCTGGAGTTTGCTCTTCCCGAGCTCCATCCAGACGTCTAATGATAGCAGAACCTAGAATCTTAGACACTATGTTAGTCAGGCTAGTTCTTATGGTTATCACAAGAAGACTTCTCACCTTTTTGAAGACTGGAATAATCAGTGATTTAGACCGGTCCAAGGGGATCATATTTGACTTCCATACAATAGTTAAGAGTTGAGTTAATTTGACCAACAATTCTCCACCACGGTCCTTAAATCCCTCTAGTACTAGTCCGTATAACTCTGCTGCTGTTCCTTGTTTCAGGTTGTCTAAAGCTTTCTCGACTTCTCTAAGTGTTGGGGATCGTATCTCGATGTTCCATTCAGGATCTGATTGGGTGGTAACTGGCAACCGAATAGTAGCTGGAGGCCAGACGAACTGTTTCTCAAGCGTTCCCCTCATCGTTCAGGTCATCTTCCCTGTGAGTGAATCACAGACCCATCCTTCTTCTCTGTAGTCTCACTAGTCACTGTCCTTTTTGCTCCAGCTTTTTTAATGTTTAAATAGCTACCTACTGTTACCTATCACTAGTGCCCTTTCCATCTCTTTTGATGTGTTAATGTGAGGTGACCGGACTTAAGTCGCTGTACAGTAACGCCAAGTTCCATGTCCTTACTACCTGACATTTATCTTAAGATTTTTTCTTTGCTACTTCCAATTGTCTCATCGCAGTCAGGTAGCGCTTTTAGTGCACTGTTGGTTTCAGCTTTGTCAGGATAGTTAGTGTGCTTAGTGCATTTCTGAAGAACAACTAAGGTGATACTTATTTCAATGGTATATCACTATGATGATATTGAGGTATTATGCGTTTGTTGCAGCCAATCTTCTAAACAATTATATGTTTCAATCGTATATAATAAGTGAGCGGAATACACACAATCAGATACAGTTATGGTAGCCTGGAGGTGGTCAATTTATGACACTAGCGTAAAATAAGGGAAACATCTTTCACGACTAGTCATGTTAGGCTGATATCTTTAGTACAGGCTGACTGTGTTTGTCTGAGGTCAATGGATGACACGACTTTTCAGCTTACGGCATTATCAAGCACTCCTGGAGACTGAAGTCATTAGTAATCCTTGTACTGTTTCATTGTACGCCTCGTACTGGCAGACAAACGAATCTTAGAGTGCAAAGCAATCCTACTCTCGTTCGGATTCTTCACTTCACTACTTGATGTCTTCACATCATTATCATCTGTCTTTGTGTGGTACATTTCTGTGATTCTCATTGTAAAACGTTCACCATATTTTACATAAAGGAATATTGGTGATGTTAGTAGACTTACCATTTGCAATGTAACCTGTATGCTACCAACTGCACAAAATTGTTTACTTCATCGACTAAACATTGTGACTATAGTGATTTAAGATTACCAACTCTTTAAAGTCATGACATTAATATTTCTCTTTAAGTGTCATAGACCTCAACGCTATCAGTTTGTCAATGAGAACTTTTCCAAGTCGATTTTCCAATCGAATATCTTGCTTATCTGACGGTTGAATCTCATAAACTATTGTTTATGTGCTGAATGATGACTTCACACGTCATTTAGCTTGGAACGCGAGCAGTCACGTTTCATATGAAATCTGTGTTACCTGAGAGACAAATACCGTTTCTCAGGGTTAGTTACATTAACTTTGAATTGATAAACTGGCTCAAAAATGTTTGATGAACTGAGCTTCTCAATCTATATAGTCAAATACTGCCAGGATTTAGACCGTTGAAGAAAGTGTACGTGAGGCATCAGTTGTTGATATTTGGTTCAGACAGACAAACAAATCGACGTATAACCTGGTTTAGAACTGGATCAGTTCAAGTTGCCAGTTCCCTACAACATACTAGTAAAAAGTGGATAGAGAAAGAGGTGATTTTAAAGTGGATAAAATGAGTGAGGAGTGAGAGAATAAATCGACGAAAGTGAATGGAAATACTAAGGACTTCGAAGATGAAGAAAAGTGTTAATATCTGCACCACTGTGACCGATTTCGGGCCATATCCCACAAAGATTCTGCAACCATTGGTGTCTATCAACTTGTAGACCCTACGCTTCCTGCACCTCCAAACACGACTCAGACGAACATTCAAAAGACTTCATAGGTTGGTTTAGGTCAGGTCACCCTAATCTTTCTTCCATGAAATATCTGTCTCTCAGCTGACATGCTGTGTCAAGACAGGTGGTGGCTTGGCATGCTCATTAAATGTCTAAGCCACCTCAGTCGCTGAAGGTTCACAGCCTCACTGACTGTCTTGTCTTCCTTGCCTAGTTCCCTTCGCCTAACCTCGACATCGTTCACACGGTGATTCCACCATATACGAGCAATGCTGTCAGGACACCTATGATTAAAGACATATAACGTTTTCATATCTTCTACTTCTACCAGCCGTTTCTAGCAGCAACTGTACGGTGACATAGTGGGGTGCAATGCAGTATAACCGTACTTTCATGAGTAATCGCTTACTCCACCTGAGATAGAGACGACGTAAGCCGGCGACTTCCAAACCGGCCTTTTGCATCTGAACGACAACAAGCAGATTCAGGCTATGCAACCCCTATTAAGTGGTCAACATGTTCGAATACTTGTTTCCTTATGCTAAAACTAGGAGTCCATATAGAGCAGTTCTGAAGTATGGTGTTACACTTGACAGGTGCGGAACACCTTTGAAATATACTGAGATTTCTGCTAAGCGTGTTCAAATTTCCCACATTTTTTCAACCCCCTTGCTTAAGTCAACCAAATGTACTTCTTGGAGTAAGTCAATCCCTGAAAAGTTGGAAGTGCTTACAGCTAATATCCATCAGGACATTAGTATC